GAGAGAGAGAGAGAGAGAGAATTTCACTTAACAGAGTAATATGAATTTTGCGGTATTTGTTGTAATACATAGTGTTGTCTTCCAACCAGTTATTCATATTACCAGATCTATCCATGTAAGATTGAAGAAGAAAGAAAAAAGAAAGCTATTATAAGAAATTAAGAAGAGAAAAAGTAGAAAAAATTGAACAAGGAAGCGAAACAAATTAAAGCATTAATTTCTTCTTTACATAGACCAGCAGAAATGCACAGTATGGTTGTCCAAACCATCTTGCTTACATGCACAAATAAATTTCTTTCCCCCACTGCCACTCCTCCCTTCTTCTCAACTCAATAACTCTTTCCTTTGAAATTATTTCATTCCTTTTTCCCAGTATCTATTTTTCTGGGAAAAATAGATTCCATTTTTCTCTTTCAGGTTCTCACACTAAAGAGACAATATGTTATTTACACATACAGGTCTGACTTGACAAATAATTCTTAAGAATAACCTAGAAAGAAAAAATGAAGTCAACAGCAGTGCCCAAAAGTCAAAGAGAATGACAAAGCATCCAAGTAAGAAATTAAGCAGGAGGGGTGTGTGAGGAGGAAGGAGATCAGAAACAGGAATATAATGAAATGATAAGAATAATTTAACATCTTTCAGTAATAACTCTCAATGTGAATGATCTTAATTCTTCAATCAAAAGACACAAATTGACAGAATGAAAAAAGAAACAAAGTTTGATGCTATGTTGTATACAAGAAAACACATTCAACCCAAAATAAGACTTACAGATTAAACGTCATAAAAAGTACAACAACATTCCATGCAGTAGGAACAACAAAAAAATTGACTACTTATGTTAATTTCAGGCAAAGTAAACTTCACACGAAAATTGATGAGAAGTAGAAAAGGTCACTAAATATTGAGTAAGGGACAATTCAAAAGGAAGAGATAATAATTATAAACATATATGCACCAAATACCAAACTTTGTAAAGCAAACACTACTGAATGTAAAAACTCAGATAATGATGAACACATTTTAATGGGGGAACACAAAGTCTCACTGTCATGTGTAGACAAATCAACTGCACAAAATACAGAAACAAAGAAGTGTCAGACTTGAACCAAGCTTTCAAACAAATGGACATAACAAGATACTTACAGAATGGTAAATTTAACAAGAGAATATACATGTTCCTCATCACGTGTGAAAGTATGGAATTTTCTTTGAAATAGTGCACATGCTAGCTATACAGCATCCTCAGGTCAATGCAAAATAAATTAAACTATTCCACATAATATTATTAGAGTTTGGTGATTACTAAAAATCGGTGACAAAATAAACCACAGAATTTCTGCAAGCACACACAAATTAAATAATGCCCTCTCAAATCATCAGTACATCACAGAATAAATCAAGGAATGAAATAGACAGATCCTAGAATCAAACAATAATTCCAACATAACATACCAGAGTCTATGGGACAAAAACAAATCAGTCTGAAAGGAAAGTTTATAGCTGTAAATTTTCACATTAGAAAACAGCACATTCAAATAAATAACCTAATGATGTTAACCAAGATCTTGAAGAAAGAAAAGCTTTTCAAATCCAAAACTGGTAGAAAGAAGGAAAAATCAGAGCAGAAATTAATGAAATTGAGACAAAGATATAAACAATCAATACATCAAACACCTGGCTCTTTAAAATAATAAATAAAATAAACTTTTAGCCAGTGGTACCCCCAAAAAGGGAAAGACATTGATGCAATTTGAAATGAGAAAGTTGAAATCATAATGGATACTGCTAAAATTTAGAAGACTATTAATAATTATCTTGTGAAATTTTATTCAAATAAATTTGAGAATTCAGAAGAAATAGATGGATTCTTAGATATATATGAATTCCCAAGACAATGAGTATCCAATAACATAAAATGAAATTTAAGGAATAATAATGATGATGATAATAATAATAATAATAATAATAATGCCAACTAAGCACAGTCCAGTGGATTCGCTCCTAAATTCTACAAGAACTTAAGGGAGGATCTAAGATCAATGCTCCTCAAACTTATTAGTGAAATTGAAAAGGAAAGAATGCCCAGAAATCATTTGTGGGAACTAACACTACCTTAAACCAGAGAAAAAATAAAACAAAAAAGAAAACTATAGGCCAATCTCTTTAATGAACATAGACACAAAACTCCTCAACATGATACTGTCAAAGAAAATAGAACAAATCAGGGTCTGGAGATGTAGCTCAGTGACACAGCACCTGCCTGGAAAGTTGAGGTACTGAGTTCAAATTCTGATGTCAAAAAATAAATAGGATTCACCCTAAGAATTCAAAGATGGCTATACATATGTAAATTAATAAATACAATGCATCATTTAAAAGCAAGGATAAAAATCACGTGATTATCTCAACTGAAACAGAAAAAGCTTTTGACAAGATCTAATTTTAAAAAAAATTGGACTTCCGTGTGTGGGCCAGTCTATTTCTTTTAATTGGTGAATTGAGTCCATTTACATTGATGGTTATATTTGAGATGCATTGCCTTATGATTGACTTGTTATTTACCTGCTATTATATACCTCTTCTTCTCCTGTGTTTAATGTTTGCCCTACTTGGTGGGCTCTTTCCATTCTCATTTGTGGAGCTCTTGTCATTTTGATCCCTCTCTAGAATATCTTTTGTACTCTGTGTAGGGTTGGCTTTGTCATCATGAAAATCTTTAGTTGTTCTTTGTCATGGAAGTGTTTCACTTTTCCATTATACTTGGAAGAGAATTTTGCAGGGTACATGAGTCTGGGTTGGAATTTGTTTTCTTGCAAGACTTGTAGTACTTTGCTCCATTCTCTTCTTGACTTGATGGTTTGTGAAGAGAAATCTGCTGTTATTCTGATGAGTTTTCCTTTAAATGTCATCTGTTTCTTTTCTCTAGAAGCTTTTAGTATATTGTTCTTGTGCTGGATTTCTGAGATTTTGATTATTATATGTCTGGGTGTGTTTTTAATTGGGTTAATGTTATTTGGGGGTCTATATGCTTTGGTTACTGAATGTCAGATTGTTTCCCCATTTTAGGGAAGCTTTCCACTATTACTTCTGTCCATATTCTTTTTATATCATTTGTACTGATTCCTTCTTTCTCGTTGATGCCTATTAGTCTTATGTTGGTCAACTTTGCACCATCTTGAAGATGTTGAATTATTTTTTCCTGCATCCTAGTTGTTTTTAAGAGATCTTTTCTTACCTTTTCACTAGCTGCAATGATGTCTTCAAAGTCTGAAAGTCTATCTTCACTTTCAGTCAAACATTTTTGCTGGCTTGTGATTGAGGTTTTAATTTCCAGTATATCTCTTTCAATCTGTTTCATGCATTCTATTTCTTTCCTTTATTGTTCATTCAAGGATCCAATTATTTTTCTGTTCTCCTCTATCTTTTTATTAATGTTTTCTTAGAAGCATTTAGTAATTCTTTCATTATAGTTATTATTTCTTTTTTACTTCAGAGGTAATTTCTGCTCTGATTTCCTCTATACCTTTCTGCAATTGTTTCTTTCTTTTCCTTTTTTGCTTTTTGTTTTGGGGGGAAGGGTGTACAGGGTGTTCAGGGTCTCACTACTAGATCAGACTTGTAGTGATGTACCTGTTTACAGCCTCCCAAGTGCTGGGATACAGGCATGTACCAGCATGCCCAGTCTCAATTCCGGTCTCAGCACACCCCAGAGGCGGGGCTGGCACAGCAGGCCTAGAGATCGAACACCTGGCCCCTGCACCTGCTTACAGGTGCTTTAGTCTGCTGAGCTATTTGGCCAGCCCTTTGCAATTGTTTCTTTACTTCAGATGCTATTATTTCAGAGATTTCAGGTATGTGATTTCCAATTTCTTCTATGTTAGTGTCTCTTACATTTGTTCTGGGTGGGCTCAGGGCCTGAGAATTCATTTTGCTCCTCTTTGTCTTTTGTATAGTACTGTCCTCTGACCTTTGCTGTAGAACTTTGGTGCAGTTATTACCTTAGCACCTACCAATATTATTACTCAAGAGAGATTACATGATTAAGGCAGTTACAGTTTTGTATTTACAGAACAATGAACAACACTAATAATGGGTAGTGATATTTAGCAGCTGACAAACTTTGTAACTAAAGGGTTGCATTTTAGACAATAAAAAAACATTATGGCTGTATAGCTAAGGAGATATTAAACTAGGAATTTGTATTTAAATTAGTTCCTCTAAGTTCTGTCTAATCACCTCCCTTGATGTACCTGGGATCTTCCAGACAAACTGGTTCACCTCAGTTACCTGTTGCCCCTATTCTTGATCAAGAGAGAAAGAGAGAGGATGCTATCATAGATCTGGATCTAGCAAAGTATCTCAGTTTACCGGATCCAGATCTACCACATTTGAACTCATCAGTAGGCCTGGCTTGGGTCTGGCTGCTGTGCTCAACTTCATCCTGCTGCAGCCTGTGGGAGTGAACCCACTGTGCCCCTCTGGCAAGATGTTCAGCTCCTGGATTAGCTGGGTGGGTCTGGCCCCTAGCCTCTCTGCAGGGAGTTCTGCCACAGGGTTCCACAATAGGCATGTCTGATGGAAGAGGTTCTGGTAAGTGCGTGGATGGGCCTACACACACACTGGGCCTGGGTGCTGCCTGGAATTGGACCTGGAGAGTGGGTGATCAGTCTCACACACACCCCAGGCTTCAGTGCTGGCTAGAAGGGGATCCAGTGAGTGGGTGGTAGGTCTCACACACAGGCCAAGACTTGGTGCCTTCTGGAAGTGGTAGTGTCCCAAATTTTCTGATCAAAGAGATTATGAGGCCACAAAGGAAAGTGATCAACAATGTGTAGTGTGCCTAAGGTGAGTCATCTGGAGAGAAAAAGTTCTCTCAGGCTTTCACAGAGAGCAGATTGGTTAAGCAATGGCCATGCCTCATCCAGATGGCTAACACTGAAAAAGGTCTACAAGGTGCTGTACATAGTTACAGGGTAAATCCTGAGGGGATTTGACTGACCTTGTTAGATACAAAAGTTACATTCTTAGCTATGTAGGTCTTGCTTTAACTTGGTCTTAACCATCCAGCAGAAAAGTGTAACCACAAGGTATAAGAAGTAAAGCTGTATTAATATGCTTAGCTATAAAAGGCTCAAGTCAACAACTTCTGAAAATTGCCAGTTTTGCTGATAACTCACTACTATTATGGACTATTGGACTATATTGGGTTATTTTGCTGAATTCAAGTACCTACAATCTTTGGACTGGCATCAAGTATGAAAAGGTCCTTTAAAGATTTATCCAAATATAGCATCTCTCACTGCAATGGAATACCTATCTCTGACAAAACAAAACAAAAAAGGGGAATATGTTGGGAGCCATGGAAGCTAGGAAATTGATCAAATGTGTGCAGGTGGGACTAGGCCTCAGTACCTAAATCAAACAAGCTACCTCAGTCCTGAGATAAACATGCTGTCAGGTTAAGGTCAGCTATTAGTCTCTAGGCAACTTTGTGTCACACATTACTAACTTTGCAAAAGTATAAAGAGCCATTTTGTTGTGAGAAATAAAAGGAAGAAAAAAAAATATATATATATACATATGTATACACAAAATAGGATAGATATACAGCTACTTTCTCTTGATTTATTGAGAAGAAAGGTTTGTACTGACATTGTTTAGACAAATATTACATCTGCATCTTGTCCTCTGAGTAACTACTATGAAGACAACAATATGTAATGTATTAATTTTTGTAACTGCCCTACTAACCTGTTTTGAAACTGTATTGCTATTTTATCTTTTTTCTCATTAAAATGAATAAAAAGTTGGATTTAAAAAATCATAACGAAAATAGAAAGATTTTATGTCAACTTCATAAAAACTTTTTATGGCCAACAAATAGAAACTACCATATTAAGTAAAGAGAATCTGAAAGTTTTCCTTTAAAAACAGGAATAGGATAAAAATGTCTACTTGCATCACTCCTGTTCAATATAATTCTCCGAACATTATATATAAGAGAAGTCAGACAAGAGAAAGTATACACATAAAAAAGAATTCAAATTATCATCATTTGCAGATGACATGATCCTCTACATAGAAGATCCAAAATATTCCAGCAAAAGTCTCTTAGATTTAGTATCCAAATTCAGCAATAATACGGTAGAAAATCAACACAAAAATCAATTGTGTTCCTGTACAACAATAAACCCACAGATAAAGAAATTAGGAAAACAACAGCATCAAGGAGAATTAAATATTTAAGAGTTAACCTAAGCAATGAAATGAAACAGCTCTACAATTAAAACTGCAGCACTCCGAAAAAGGACATCAGAAAATGGAAGACTATACCATTCCTGGTTATACAGAACCACAAGAGTCAAAATGCCCATAGTTCCAAAATTGATACATAGATTTTACATAATCCCTATCAAGACACCAATAGCATTCTTCAAAGAACTAGAGAAAACAATCCTACAATCTATATAAAACAAGAAGAGACCTACAAAATAGCAAAACCAGTCCTGTGTAACAAAAGCCATGCAAGAAGCATCACAATCTTGGACTTCAATTTATACTACAAAGCTGAGATGATTAAAACAACAACAACAGCAGACATACAGATTAGTGGAACAGAACTGTATTAGTTAGAGTTTACAAAAGAAACAGATTTAAGGCCAGACACAAAAATTTACAGTATTAGTTGGCAATAATCACTCACAGAGTTAAATGTAGAAGAGTTCAAGACATCTGTCTGCACACTGGAGAGTCAAAGGATCTAGTCAAGGGCTTGGAGCTCATGCCAGTGTCTTATGTCCAAGAAGATGAGAATGGAAGCTGCCCTCAAAGAAAGAAAGCAGCCAAGCCTCCTTCAAACAAAAACCACTGAAATTCTTCCAAGAACAGCAGCCACAACAAAGGTCTTCCAAGAAAGATCAGCTGAAATCCTTCCCTCATATTCTATTTGTATCCATTCCAACAACAAGCCTCTTTCAGAGGGCTTTCCACACCCAGAACCATGCTAATTCAATTCAGCTGGGCATTCACCCTCACATCAACAATTAGTCAATTACTCACAAGTACTGAGGATGCAGAAACAACTCCAAGCTCATGCAGTAGCTGACCTTTGACAAAGGTGCTGAAAACTTATGCTGAAGTGATGGTGTGAAATGGTGCTGAGAAAACTGTCTATCCATCTACAGAAGATTGAATCTAGACCTATGTCTCTCACAATGTAACAAACTAAAATCAAAATGGATAAAAGATCTAAATGTTAAAATAGAAATACTTAAAAAATAAAATATTTAAAACTCTTGTAGATATAGGTACAAGTAAGGATTTTCTGGCAAAATCCCAATTGCATAAGAAATAACAAGAAGAATCAATAGTCTAGGAAAATTATATACTCTAGGAAACAACCAGCAAAGTGAAGAGAAAACCTACAGAATAGGAAAAAATTTCTAGCTCATTCTTGAACAATTAGGGTCTAGAATATATAAAATCACAACAATTAGACTTGTCTTAGTTATTTTCTCATTACAGAGACAGAATAAACAACTTTCAAAGTCAAAAGAGGAAAGCTTTATTTGGCTCACAATTTGTGGAGGTTTCAGTGCAAAATCATCAGAGCCCAAAGTAGGTGGCATAACAGAGGAGCATCACAAAGGAAATATAGTCTATGGCAAAGTGGTGCATTCAAAAAGTAGCCAAATACTAACAAAATAACAATTACTACTAAAAATAACAAAAAATTAAATTACAGAGTGTCCTGATTCACCTCATTCTCCAGAATGAGACATCCTGATTTCTGGTGTTCCACAAAGTCAAAATTACCACAAGAAATAAAGATTTTGAATCAATTGAAGACACTGAAATAGTCATGATGGTGCAACTAAAGATGCTATGAAAAATGACTTCTGTAACTGCTTCTGAAAGTGGCAGGAACAATAGGATTAGTATATTTGAAACAAAGAGGTCATTTTTAGAAACATTAATAGCAATTTTTAAAATGTAAACATTCACTGTATTTGTCAATTATACCACAATATTACAAAGGCCTATCAAGAAGAAGACAACAATAAGGCAGCGAGATAGTTCAGCAGACAAAGCTACTGCTTTGGCAACTGCAGAGACTGGAGTTTGATTCCCGGTCCCACATGCTGTGCCAGCTCCACCCCTGGGGCACACTGAGACAGAGGCTGAGTCCAGGCATGGTGGCACACACCTGTAATCCCAGCTCTGGGGAGGCTGAAAACAGGAGGATCACGACAAGTCCAAGCTGGGTAGTGAGACACTGTACCAAATACATAAATGGAAAAAAAATTAAAAACCAAGAAGAAACAAAAACAAGAAAGCTTTCTTGCAGCTTCAGGCTTTTGTAGTTTGCTATTTTCCAAAAGTCAGAGGGGCTTTCTAGAATATAAAGAAAATGTGAACTAATTTTTTTATGAATTTAAGAGTTTCTAACCAAAAATATATTTGTTATGAGACTACATAGAAAATTAGATTTTACAAGTTGTAAGGTCTTATAATTTTCTCAACTATT